CTTTGTCGTCCATTTTGTTTGTCCATGCTATTAACCCCCTACAACAGATCTTGGATGCGGCAACATAGAATGGAGATCTACACAGATTGTGTGGCCATGGTGCCTTCCTTCGCACCTCTCTATACGCGGCGACGCTGCAACTTTATTGGCGCCTATCAAAGAGGACGTGGACATGCTTGCAACCATACTTAAAAGCTTTGGGAACGTCACTGGCCTAGTTACGAACATTCACAAGAGCTTGGTGGCCCCTATTAGATGCTCCAATGTCGACCTTGACATAATTTTTTGTGCCTTCGCGGCGGCTCATGCTCAATTCCCTTTGCCGCGCCTTGGCCTTCCGCTGTCCACTCATCATTTGTGGGTTGTGGACTTCCAACATTTGCTTGATAAGATTACCAGAAAGATCATGACTGGCCAGGGAAAGTACATTACGATGGCTGGGAGGAGCACGTGGGTAAAATCGGTCATCACTTCACAGGCCATCCACCACCTCATTTCGCTTGTGGTGCCCAAAGGACCGATGACCACCATTGTCAAGTTGCAATGGGCTTTCCTATGGGGAGGCACAGATAAGGTTTGGGAAATGTAAGACAAAATAGGAGAAGGTTTGTATACCCAAGGACATGGGCGGCCTAGGCATCCTGGACATGGACAAATTCGCACGTGCCTTGCGGCTTAGATGGCCTTGGTTGGTTTGGAAGGAACAAGATAGAGCTTGGGTTGATTTGGAGCACCCGGGTGATGAAGAGGATATGACACTATTTTATGAGTGCACTTCCATCACTATTGGCAATGGGCAAAGGACATCCTTCTGGCACTCCCATTGGCTTGGAGGTCGGAAGCCTAAAGCAATTGCTCCCTCCATTTCTGCAATTTCAAAACACAAGAATGACACCATCCTTAAGGCTATGGATCTCAACCGGTGGATTACGAACATCAACACAAATTTGGGGCTCACAATTCAACACATCCTTGAATACTATAATCTTTGGGTTGGATTATGAGAGGTCTTCCTTGATGAGGAGGTGGACGATGAGATCGTTTGGAAGCTTTCGCCTTCCGGTGAATACACAACATCATCGACTTACAGACTTTAGCTTGACGACTCCACTGCATCGCAAATGAAACCGGCTGTGTGGAATAATTGAGCGGCACCAAATCATAAATTCTTTACTTGGCTTATCATTCAGGATCGTGTTTGGACGGCGGATAGGCTCCAATGGAGAGGATGGCCGAATGGTGGCCTATGACAATTATGCAAGAGGGAGCCGGGGATGGCGGCGCACATCATCTTACGTGTCGATTCACGATGCGCATTTGGGCGGAGATCAAGACTTGGATGGGGTTGACTAGTGTGGACATCACCGACTAAAGTAGCTTCGACAACATCAAGGATTGGTGGCACCACATGATGGGCGTCAAAGCCAATGTGAGAAAGGGCCTCACATCTCTCTTCATGTTTGTTTCATGGGAGATTTGGAATGGGCGGAATGCAAGAGTGTTTAAGGACGTGTCCTCCATGCCAAATGTAATCACGTCTAGAATCAAAGCCGAGACCAGGCTTTGGAGTTTGGTAGGTGCCAAGCGTTTGAGTTCTCTTATACTATGAGAGTAGGCTAATCGGGTTCAGGCCGTTTATGGATGATCGGTCATGTAATTCAAAACTCTTCTTAACTAATGAGACGAGGCAAATCGTTTGCCTTCGTTCTGGCATGAAAATTAAAGCACTCGGCTTACATGGAACTCCCGGCAACGATGTTTGCCACGTGGCCGCCGAACGGCTAGCGTGACGGTCGTTGGTATAAGCCAAGTACACTCCCACGGTACTTGGATAACAATTACCATTTTTTAAAGCCGGACCGCCATTGGTTTAAGCCGAGTAAGCCGAATGGGGCCACTAGGCTTACACGTAGTCCATGTTTGCCCTCGGCACTCGGCTTACAAATGGAACTTGTCTTACAGCGGACACGTGGCTGCATGACGTCGCCTGTGGGTGAAAAATTAAGCCGGGCAAAATGCCCCCAGCTAACAGCAACATTCGGCTTACTCATACACCATCAGTGCACTACTGCCCTCGACTTAATGTGACATCATGACACGTGGCGGCAGGCCGTTGGCCCTGGTTGGAAAATTAAGCCAAGCGGCACACTCGGTTTACCGTGGCCGTTAGTCTCAGTCGGCCGTCATGTAACTTTGTTTGGTGAGAGCCTCTATATTTACTTCAGATTATTTGTAAGCCAAGTAGCCGTAAAACGACACTCGGCTTATACGCCATAAGCTAGTCCAAATGAAGCTGAGAGCCATAAGTCGAGTGCATCACTCGGCTTAATCTGAGCCGAGGTTATTTGGGGATTTGCCGAGTATGTTTCATACTCAGCTTTTTTTTTTCTGGAGTGTCATTTGTATTTTAAATTTTGGTTCTTATGTTTTCAGTCCAATTTTCATCAATCAATTTCCGCAGCAACGCGCGTGGTATTCTCTAGTTAAAACAAATGGTTGGCACCGTCAGTAAGTATAAGGCTAAAGTCCATTTAATAAAGAAAGGAGGGGAGCTAGCCATAATAATTAGAGTGAAGTGAGTGAGTGAACATGGCTTATTTACCAGGATTTGGAAGAGAACGCTGGTGGAGAACATACACGCAAGGCCAGCAAGCCAGCTGCAACAGCAGAAGATCTGGAAACTAAATAATCCGAAGAAACAAATCGACTCAAATAGTTAATGAACCTGACAAACAATCGAACAATGCATGAACTTACACTGTGAAGACAGACATCAAGCAAGAGTGAGTTGACAGAAGACATCATCCAGCCAGCAGGAGCATACAATCCAGTAAGTTAGTCAGACAGACACTTGGCAAGTTCTCCGTCTGTAAAAATAATATAAAAGCTTGATCTAAACGCTCTTATATTTCTTTACGGAGGAAGTACAATCCAGTAATAAATTACTAGTATGAAACAGAGGGAGTACAAATCAACCAATGAAGCTGGAGTTGGAGCGAGCAACAGGGCTGGGCTGGGGTCGGGACCAGGGAGGGAACAATTAACTAAGCAAGCAAGGAAGAATTCCTCACCTTGCACGGTCATCGCCATCCTCTCCGGCGGGCGGCAGAGCACCACGCAAATCGAGCTTCGCTGTTTGAACGAAGAACATCGATGTAATAATATATATTATGAACTGGGTGCGTGGGTGGGTAGGGGCACCCGTGACTGACATGCAATCATAAGAATATACAGTATTATGAAGAGCGTGGGATGCATGTTTCTCGTCTGACGCTCAATTTGTTTGTATGGCCGGCATGCATGGGTCCGCTGCTTCATGTATTGTTTTCGTCTTTCCACGTAAGATAGGGCCCCAGCAAAGTAAATTACGGTATTGGCGGTACGGCGGTAGTTGTGCTTCATGGATCATCCCATTCTCCACCTGCCTAGTGAGCCGTGGAGTTGTTGCTGTCATGATCACAATTGATGCACTTGTCTTGTCACATTTGTCCCGCCCGCCCAACATTTTGTCAGGCAATTAGGGAGACTTTGTTTGAGCTTGATCCAAATTATTCCTACGTCATAGTGTCATTGAGCCTTGACCTGCGCTCCAGTTCTTGGGTCAACCCCATCAACACGCATACACCATCAGCCTTGTTATTGCACGTGGATATTTCATGTTGAATAGTACCACATGACTCCATTAAATTGATTCTCATCAGTTTATATACATTCAACATCATTGTCCACTAGTAGAAAACAGAGCTTTGGTCCAGGTCGGGTCAGCCCATTAGTCTCGGTTCAGTCACGGACCGGGATCCATTGGGGCATAGGTCCCGGTTCGTGAGGCCAGGGGGCCGGCTGGGCCTCGTGGGGCATTGGTCACGGTTCGTCTAACCCCTTTGGTCCTGATTTCAGACACGAACCGGGACCAATGTGCCTCACTCCTGGCCCACAACCATTGGTATCGGTTCGTGGCTGGAACCGGGACCAAAGGGGGTCCTTTAGTCCCGGTTCCAGCCATGAACCGGGATCAATGAGATGGTTATATATACCCCTCTGCCCGCGAGCAGAGCAGTGGAGTGCTTTGTTTTTTTGCCGGCCGTGGGAGAGCTTTGTGGTGCTCTAGCTCACCTCCTATGCACATGAGGTGTTCGATGAAATGCCCGAGCCACACTTAAGCTTTCTCCTCTCGAAGCTCCTTGTCCAAACTCCATTTTCCTCGAGATTTGTCTAGGTTTGGCGGTCCGTCCTGTCCTGTCCCCGTCCTCACCGTCGTCGATCGCCCGCGCCGATCTCATCGCCGACACCACCGTGGTGAGCCTCTTGATCTTATTTTCTTTCTAAAAAAAGTTGTTACTTGTATGATTTACATAGATACTTGTGTAATTTTCTTAATTTTATTATTGTTTGTTATTATATAGTGCGATGCTTTTGGTAGCCGTCTCCGCCGGCCCTCGTCCTGTCTATGATTCGGATGTGGTATATATTATCTTTTATAACTATTTGGTACATTTAGTGTTTATGACAATTATGCCGACCAACGTGACATAGATTTTTTTTATCTAGGAGGAATGTGAACTGAAAATTCCAACCGACCCTATTGTCGAGAGGTTAAATTTAGTTAAAGAAGAAAACAATTACTTGAAGGAAAAATTGAAAAAAATTGAGGAGCAGAAGATGATATTGGAGTTGCATGTTGCGGATATCGTCGATGATCACAAGATCAAGATGGATGTAACACGCTTGAAGATTAGAAAGATTAGAAAATATGCCATTCATACCGAGGCTTGATATCATTATGCCGTTGGATCAATTGTTACCTTAGTTCCGATTATGATTGCATTTGCTGTTGCATTGAAATGTTTTACATAGTTTTAATGTATGGTTTAATTAGATGCTCTGGAGAGCTATATGTTGTTCAATGAGAACTATGTATCTACTTTGGTTTTAATATGATGATGAACTTCTATTAATTTGGTGACTTATCTATTCATGATGTTCTGTAATGGTTTTTGACACACTTAATTATATATAATGCACGCAGATGAATCAGCAATGGATGTACGGTAACAGACGCACCTCCGAGTACATTGAGGGTGTACATAATTTTCTCGCAGTGGCTGAGGCAAACAAGCAGAATGGCTTTATGTGTTGTCCATGCCCTATATGTGACTTTGAATGGTGCATTTTGAACACACAAAAGGTTTGGAGTTCAAATAAGTTCAAAAAAATTGAAATCCCTTTGTAACAGATGAGTTTTCGTCCGAAACCCTGATACTTCGAAAGAGATTGTCCATTTTATACATGAAGTGCATCCAGTTTTTGCCATAACCCTCTCAACTTTTTAGCACATGCTATGTGGGTGAAATGATGATACCATGCCAACTTTCAACCTTTTCAGAGTTCATTTGTAGTGCTTTTCAATTTCAGGGTCATTTAGCTTAAAAAAATCAGTAAATGCATGAAAAATACAAAATAAAGTCAGAAAGGGTTCAAAATTGATGATGTGGCTTTGAATGGTGCATTTTGAACAGACAAAAAGTCTGGAGTTCAAATAAGTTAAAAAAATGAAATCCCTTTGTAACAGATGAGTTTTCGTCCGAAACCCTAATACTTCGAAAGAGATTGTCCATTTTGTACACGAAGTGCATCTAGTTTTTGCCGTAATCCTCTCAACTTTTTAGCACATGCTATGTGGGTGAAATGATGATACCATACCAACTTTCAACCTTTTCAGGGTTCATTTGTAGTGCTTATCGATTTCAGGGTCATTTAGATTAAAAAAATCAGTAAATGCATGAAAAATACCAAATGAAGTCGAAAAGGGTTCAAAATTGATAATGTGGCTTTGAATGGTGCATTTTGAATACACAAAAAGTCTGGAGTTCAAATAAGTTCAAAAAAATGAAATCCCTTTGTAACAGATGAGTTTTCGTCCGAAACCCTAATACTTCGAAAGAGATTGTCCGTTTTGTACAGGAAGTGCATCCAGTTTTTGCCGTAACCCTCTCAACTTTTTAGCATATGCTATGTGGGTGAAATGATGATACCATGCCAACTTTCAACCTTTTCAGAGTTCATTTGTATTGCTTTTCAATTTCAGGGTCATATAGCTCAAAAAAATCAGTAAATGCATGAAAAATACCAGATGAAGTCAGAAAGAGTTGAAAATTGATGATTTAGCTTTGAATGGTGCATTTTGAACACACAAAAGTATGGAGTTCAAATAAGTTCAAAAAAATGAAATCCCTTTGTAACAGATGAGTTTTCATCCGAAACCTTGATCCTGTCAAAGAGATTGTTGATGACCCACAAGTGTAGGGAATCTATCATAGTCCTTTCCATAAGTAAGAGTGTCGAACTCAACGAGGAGCAGAAGGAAATGACAAGCGGTTTTCAGCAAGGTATTCTCTGCAAGCACTGAAATTATCGGTAACAGATAGTTTTGTGATAAGGTAATTTGTAACGGGTAACAAGTAACAAGTGTAAATAAAGTGCAGCAAGATGGCCCAATACTTTTTGTAGCAAAGGACAAGCCTGGACAAACTCTTATATGAAGGAAAACGCTCCCGAGGACACATGGGAATTATCGTCAAGCTAGTTTTCATCACGCTCATATGATTCGTGTTCGGTACTTTGATAATTTGATATGTGGGTGGACCGGTGCTTGGGTGATGTCCTTACTTGGATAAGCATCCCACCTATGATTAATTCCTATTGCAAGCATCCACAACTACAAAAGAAGTATTAAGGTAAACCTAACCATAGCATGAAATATATGGATCCAAATCAGCCCCTTACGAAGCAACGCATAAACTAGGGTTTAAGCTTCTGTCACTCTAGCAACCCATCATCTACTTATTACTTCCCAATGCCTTCCTCTAGGCCCAAACAATGGTGAAGTGTCATGTAGTCAATGTTCACATGACACCACTAGAGGAGAGACAACATACATCTCATCAAAATATCGAACGAATACCAAATTCACATGACTACTTATAGCAAGACTGCTCCCATGTCCTCAGGAACAAACATAACTACTCACAAAGCATATTCATGTTCATAATCAGAGGGGTATTAATATGCATAATGGATCTGAACATATGATCTTCCACCAAGTAAACCAACTAGCATCAACTACATGGAGTAGTCAACACTACTAGCAACCTACAGGTACCAATCTGAGGTTTTGATACAAAGATTGGATACAAGAGATGAACTAGGGTTCGAGAGGAGATGGCGCTGGTGAAGATGTTGATGAAGATTGACCCCCTCCCGATGAGAGGATCGTTGGTGATGACGATGATGATGATTTCCCCCTCCCGGAGGGAAGTTTCCCCGGCAGAACAGCTCCGTCAGAGCCCTAGATTGGTTCCGCCAAGGTTCCGCCTCGTGGCAGCGGTGTTTCGTCCCGCAAGCTTTCCTATGATTTTTTCCAGGGTAAAAGACTTCATATAGCAGAAGATGGGCATCGGAGGCCTGCCAGGGGGCCCACGAGGCAGGGGGCGCGCCCAGGGGGGTAGGGCACGCCCCCACCCTCGTGGATGGTGGGTGGCCCCCCTCTGGTACTTTCTTCGCTGAGTATTTTTTATTAATTCCAAAAATGACTTCCGTGGAGTTTCAAAACTTTTGGAGTTGTGCAGAATAGGTCTCTAATATTTGGTCCTTTTCCAGCCCAGAATTTCAGCTATCGGCATTCTCCCTCTTCATGTAAACCTTGTAAAATGAGAGAGAATAGGCATAAGTATTGTGACATAATGTGTAATAACAGCCCATAATGCAATAAATATCGATATAAAAGCATGATGCAAAATGGACGTATCAACTCCCCCAAGCTTAGACCTCGCTTGTCCTCAAGCGGAAGCCAATAACGATAAATAGGTCCACATGTTTAGAGATAGAGGTGTCGATAAAATAAAATACGGACATGAAGGCATCATGATCTTTCTTATAACAGCAACATATATAAATATTGTCATATGATTTCTTATGATAAAGTAACAATCTATTCACAATGTCAAGTATGAATCAGAAACTTCATTGAAAACCAACAAACTATAATCTCGGTCATTGAAGCAATTGCAATTTATCATAACATCGGAAAGAGT